AGCCTTCAATCTCCCAAAATTCCTTCACAAATACATTCTCCAAGCTCCACTCCATCCAACAATGGTGCTTCTTCGTGATTTAGGGGTTTCTGGGGCTCAAGGGGTGATAAAGAGGCTGGGAGGGAAACATAATGATCTTTATATAAGGCTCAACCCCGAGAATTAGGGTTTTCTCCACTCAGCGCCTACTCGCCGAGTCCATTACCCTGACTCGTCGAGTCGGCCACTTAACACACGACCAAGTCGCGACTCTACTCGCCGAGTCCGCACATGGACTCGCCGAGTCACTCTTTCCCAATTTACTCTTTTAGCCCTTCAACTCTACTCTTAATATTTCGGGATGTTACAATACAGAGGAGGAGTTTGATCGTGGGTGCGACACCTTGTATGCTGGACGTATGAAGGTTATGCATGGTGTACGGGGAGGATAAGAAAACCTTATTTTAGGGTGTTGCACCCTATATATGGTCCTTAAGCCCCTAGGGGTGGCCTTTTTAGCAGCCTCCATTGCCCTAAAACCCTAATCTCGAAACCTAATAACCTATTTGAGTGTTCTTGAGCCTTGGTCTTGATTTTGATGGTTTATGCTCCTTAAAGTGAAAGAAGAAGAAGTTGGTGGGCTCATTATTTGGAAGGAAGCTTAAAGATCCAAATTTAACTCAAGCTCTTGGTGATTTTTGAGGTATAAAGTCCCAAACTTGATCTTTGTATGGTTAGATCTCTTCATGTCATGGTTTTTATGCTTTTGGTCCCTTTTGGGTTAGTTTGATGAGTTAAGTCGTTTGTGGGGCTTATCATTTTAGATATGGGCATATTATGAGTTTCTTAAGCTTAAAGGTGCAAACTTTATCGGGTTTATGTTCTCATTCATGCATTAAATCATCTCTCAAGTCCTTTTGAGCTTTAAGAGCTTCATTAAGCCATGCATGCATGTAAAGTTAGCAACTTTACGTGATAAACCATCTCAAGGAAGTTAGATCTAAGTTTTGGAGTGATATCTTAATGGATTAAGAGCTGGAAAATGGAAAATTGCAAAATGGAGGAGTACGTTGGGCGTATAAGCAGGCACACTCAACGTACAAGCCCTAAAGTAGGTACATTGCGCTTACGTGTTGAGTATGCCCCACGTACTCAACCAGTTGGGATTTGGACATTTTAGGCTTTTATTTGGGCCATACTGGACTTAAATGCTTAGGGCCTTGTTGGGCCATCAAGTTTTGGGTTGATGCATGTTTTGGGTTCTCTTGGAAAAGGCCCATGAAATGGATTTGGGCCCAATTTGGAAGATTGGGCCATGATTAAGCCTTGGATGATTATTTTGGCAATTGGGCCTTTTTGGATTGTAGGTTTGGGCCTTAGTCTTGGACCAAACTAGGTAAGGGGTAAAATGGTCTTTTTTCCTAATTTTAAACTGATGGTTATGGATTGGAATCTAATTATTAGTTGGATGTTATTTGGTATCGATAACTCTGGGATTTGTCGGACCAGAAGCAAGAGATTTATCAGTGTGATTCAGCAGTTCAAGGTGAGTTATCTCACTATGTTTAGCGGGTCGAAGGCACAAATGACAACCCATGATTTTGTTATGTTAGGAAGCTAGATGTTTGTGTAACTCTTGCATGTGTTATGTACTCTTATGCTTATCAGGCGGGGCCCGATTACCATTTTCTATGCTATGTATCTTTTGATTATTGCATGTGTATATGTTTATATGCTATATGTTTATGTATATGTCGCGTGGGCCCGATCTGTATACCGAGCGGGACACGATGATGGGCGGGGCCCATTATGTGTTCATTGTGTATGATATGTGGTATCTTGGGGACCTTACAAAGCTTTGTGTTTACAGTTTTCAGTTTGTGTTTCAGGTAATTCTAGTTCCAAAGGAAGGTCTCAGGATGATTGCACAACATACACCACTAGTTTCCGCATCTGTGTGATTTCCTCTGATTTTTTAGGATGTATTGATACATATTGATAACTTTGGTTTTATGATAAGGATGATGTTTATTAATCTAAAAACAAAAATTTTATGGCCTTATTTTTTGGATGTTACATGTAACTTTTCTGAGGCAAGTCTTAGTCTTCCGAGCTACTGCACTTGTAGGATCCTCTGTGGATTTTGGGGAAGAAATTTAAAAAATTAGAGATGAATTCATAGAGGATTCCATGATTGATTCAATTGTTGGTTTTTAAGGAGTAAATGGTAAATTAAGAGAGTAATTTTACCTGGGATGTGGAGATCCTCTGATGGGTTTCTGGCGGTACTTTTGGCTTGAGTAATCGTCCGATGGAATGATAATTTTTTTAACCCTAATTAATCACTTTTCATCCAAGACTTTCTTAATGATACAATGAAATGAAATCAAAATTGATGGTAATCGATATGTGTGAAATTAACAATTAAATGGGAGTTGTTTGAATTCTTCATTTGTTTGGAATAGTGAAAAAGGTCGATAGAACTGCCGCTGCACTTGCCGAAAACGAGCATGGTCGGTGAGTTCTCAATCAGGTCCTCCTAACAAAGAGAAACCCGACGAGTGGTTTTGTTGTTGAGACTACAATTGAGAAAGGAGATGGTTTTTCTTTTGAACGCTTTCAAGCCCCGAAGCAGCCTCTTGGACGTCGTTGGTTTCATCGAAGATAGTGTTTATGAAGCCCATGATTAGAACCATGGCGGCCATGGCGGACTAGACCATGAAAATGGTGGTTTGTACGGATAAGAAGCAATCAAATATGAAATCAACGATGCAAATAGTTGAAGAGGGTGAGAAGCGATGTAAATAGGCGAAAAAAGTGAAACAAAAAAAAGTAAGCAAAAAAGTAACGGGCATGTCGTTTTCAACCCCATCGTAATTAACATTTTCGTTTTATGTTTTTTAACCGGTCATATATTATAATAATTTGAAGCAGCCGGTGAGCTTAAAATGTGATTTGAACAAAATATGTATTCGGATGGTATTAGATATACAAATACAATAGTTCATTGGTATTTTTTGTAGTTACAAAATTTAAATGATACTTTTTAAACAATTTTGATACCAGTTACTTTTTTAAATCATAGGTGTGAGCTCCGTGTATTACACGAGTTGATTTAAAAAAAATATTAAACATTAAAATGTAAACAAAAAATATTTTTAATGTAAAACTTTAAAATAAAAAAGAAACAAATGTATTTATTGCAATTTAATATCATATATATGATATTTAATACTTTACATATATAAGTATATAATTTTAATTTTAAAAATTAAAACAAATTAAAAATTAACAAGTAAATAATATTTATTTTAAAAATACCACAAAATATTTTTTTTCCCTATTTAATCATCATAGAACCACCTGTCTTTTTTTCCCTATTTAATCATCATAGAACCACCTGTCTTTTTTTCATACCATATTTGGTAGTCAGGAGGATTTCTTGTTTAGCCCTAGGGTTTGTTTCTGTCATCTTAAAACCCTTTCATGTTCTCTATATCTGTATACGTACATATATGACTCTTCTATGATTAAATTTTCTTATAATTTGAAGTTTACGTTCCGGTTTTTCTGATCACGTTGTTGTTTGTTTTGTTTTCCGATTTGATACGGAAGGGGTTAGAATTCGGAAGAAACGCTACTCAAATTTCAGGAACAGGTTTTTTTTAATTTTTTCGAACTTACACTGCGTTTATTTGATTAGTTTACTGTTTGGTTTAAGTTTTGATGAATTTCTTTTGAGTTTTAAATTCAAAAGCAGTCCTTTCAAATGCAAAATCGACGTGGATTACGTTTTCCCTATTAGGATTGGCTTCTTTTGTAAAGTTTGGTGTCGGTCTTGGTTTTTATATCATATGAATTCATAGAATATGAAGTTGAATATTAGGTGGAACATGAAAAGGTGAATCACTTTTTTGGGATAGTGGAGGTAATGATTGTTATCTATTATTACTTTTTTTTCTTTTTTCGGCTCAGTAATGCTAAGCATTTTCGAAGGTCTTTCTTGGTGATGGCTGGAATCTGTGATACATAGGCATAGTTTTCTAATTGTTTTATAAAGTAGGAGATAAAAATGTGCCAAAGAGGAATCATGGTCATAGTGAGGGGAATTACAATTTCAATGGTATTTTTGTAATGGATATTAAGAGCTTGTTTTTCAATATTCTTTGTTACAAAAATAGGATTGGGATTTTGTGCTACTAGTATATGCTTGAAAGCTGATATTTCTGGCTTGTCTCTCTGATAGTAATTAATAATTAGGGTAGGATCCTGAAACTAGGAATTCTATGGAGGTTTTATTAGTTTTTATATGAGGTAGGCATATCTCTGATTTAGGGTGTGTATTAAAAAACTATGGTCTTACTAGATATTGGCAACTGAACTAAAAGAGCAACTACAAAACTAGATATAGCCGATGAATTGCAATCAGCATTCGTTAAATTACATGTAGTCAATGTGAAACATGGGTATACATAGATATAATACGAACAATCTTGGAAGAAAATAGGGAATCAACAAGTGATGTTTTTTTTTTTTTTTTTTTTTTTTTTTTTTTTTAATAACATTATATAACCTTGGTTGACTCAACCAAGGGTTCTTGTTGAATTTGAATTTTTGAAATGGGCTCTTTTACTATATTAGTTTGGAACGAAAAAATATTAATTGTTGCTGGGAAAGAGACTAGTAGCTTAATTAGGTTTAATTGACCAAATCTGATTCCTTGTATTCTTTTTATTTCACTAACAAGTACTGTAGTTCTTTAGGAATGGATCCAAATTTGTTAATCCTGCTGTGGCGTTATTAATTATCTCAATTCTTATTAATGGTAATATAATATTATCATAGTATAGTAGAACAATTTATAGGCATGCATATATTTACAAAATCCTCTGTCTACTGAATTTGACTCGAGTTACATATTCCGTAGGACAATGGAAAAAAACGAAACCGGGTGGCAACAAGCTCCAGAAGCCCCAACTCTTTGCATAAACAAGTGTGGATTTTTTGGCACCCCAGCCACAATGAACATGTGTTCAAAATGTCACAAAAACATCATCTTAAATCAAAACCAAGCCAAACTCACTGCAAGCATCATCAATGGCGACTCAACCTCAACTAACCCCACCACCATTCCTCTCCATCCTCAACCACCTTCTGAGGTGGAGGCGGTGGTGGCCCAACCATCCACCGTACCACCACCACCGTCAGCTGGTCCGTCTCGGTGCACCGCGTGCAGGAAACGGATCGGGTTAACCGGGTTTAGTTGTCGATGTGGGAACGTGTTTTGTTCGGTTCATCGGTATGCTGACAAACATGAGTGTTCGATTGACTATCGCGCAATTGGGAAAGATGCGATAGCGAAGGCAAATCCGATTGTGAAAGCGGAAAAGCTTGACAAGATATGAGAGAGAGGGAAAGAGGGGTAAATATAAATTAGGCACTTATTGGTTATGGTGGTATGTATGGGGTGATGATTTTTTAAGTTGATTTCTTTGTGGTTATGTCCTTTGTTTTCATGAAATTTTTTTTATTTGTATGTGGATAGTCAAAGTCAAAGTCTCAGTCTCTTGTTGGGTATGACGAACATTCGAGCCTTTTTTGTTACATAGAACAAGAGGTTATTACAAAACACAGAAATTTAGACCCTATTTGGCTTGTATTGGATTGAGATGGTGTTATTTTTGCAAAGTATGTGACTATGTTTTATGTGAAGCAAAACAAAACAAAGAAGATTTGATGATAAATTCGTTGTTATCTGTTTCTAGCAAAAAGGTAAGCAATAGAGGCTAAGAAGTAGCATTTCTTAGTCGATCTAATTCTTAATTAGTCAATTTCATGTTTACGACCATAAATATAACAGAAGTAACTTGTAAAAACTTCAACTTTAACATTTGTTACTCTACTTTTGTTTTATATTTCATTAAAAAAAAAAGCAAAGCGAAAGCAAATTGTAATTTTGGCCGTCGAGTTTAGCATATATAATCTGAAACCGCTTTCTTACCTTTAAGAAGAATGTTTTTTTGTGGCAGAAGATAGAGGGAGGAAGAGTGGAACCTACTATCTACCACACCTCAAATACGTCCATCACACCCAATATGTAGATCTGGAAATGGGGCGGGTTTGGAGCGAATCGACCTTGATTCAAACCCTTTTAACAAATCTCAAAATCCGATCCAAATCCGCTCCGTAACCCACAGGGTTTTGAATAATCAAATCCATACCCTTATCCACCGAATCAATGGATATCCAAACCTGCCCAATAACCCTAGACTTTTTGAATTATTAAACATATTTTACTTAATTCATAAAATAATATTTCTTAAATAAAACAAAGGTTGATTTAGAAACCACATTATGTACTCGAGAACTTTCGATTGGAATTAAAAATCACTATTGTAGTAACTTCTGATTTATTTTTTACTATCAATTATAGTGATAAAAAATAGAATGACAAACTTTCTTTCAGTTGATGAATGAATTTATTGATTTATGAATGAAATATAAATGAAATGACATCATAATTCTTAGTAGAAGACTGAAAGTCTAGAAATCGACTCCTTGATTCTTATATATAAATAGTTTGGACTTTAGCATTTTCCCTTTGGACTTTCGTTTGGAATTAAAATTAAACTTTAAGCAATATAAAATATAAAGCAATAATTCAAAAATTATACGGGACGGGTTATAAACAAAGCGGATCGGTGATGATCCATACCCGACCCTTTTAATAAAAAGGGTTAGCGGGTATGAGTCGTTAAAGGGTAAACGAATCAAAAACTATGCTCCAAACCCACATAATTCTTAAGGGTTTGGATCGGATCAGGCTCAAAATCCGCTCCATTACCAGGCCTACCAATATGTCATATCATCATCTTAATCATAAATTGGTATTATAACACCAAATATAAAAATAAGCAACAACAAATAACATGTAACAACACCACTTGTTTTCTATTTTATTTTTTAATTTTTTTTATGTTTCTAATTCCCATTTTTTATTTTGTTTTATTTTTTTAATTTATGTCATAATAATTTAAAAAAAAAAAACATACAAACTAAATAACATATAATTAATATAAATATTAATTAAAAACTACATTACAATGAAAAAACATAAAACCAATAGGAGGAGGTGTGATTTTGTTTAAAGGAGAAATGTTGGGGTTTTGATCCATAGTAGGGAAAAGTTTTTTTTTTTTTGAAGATTTGAGAGTAATAAAAGATTTGTAAAATATAAAGGTCAATATATATATATATATATATATATATATATATATATATATATATATATATATATATATATTTGAAAAAAGATTGAAATTGTATTATTTCTTTTTTACATTTTTGACCGTTTTACAACGGTTGAAAAATTAAAAATATAGACGTTTGATCATTTTTGCTTCGAATTCTTCCCATTGTCGAGCGTTACACAGTAACGTATTATAACGTAACGCCTAATAGTGCACGTCGGGCGTGGTGTTCGACACGTTATAATGGTGTTTTTACACCTCTACATCGGATTAACGCGAATACGCGTTGCCCGTACCTAACAGTCTAATATATTTTTAGTAATATTGAAGGCTTTATTATTATTATTACTATTGTTATTAAAATAAAAAAATATTTCATGTTAATATTATTAAACAAAAGCATATATATATATATATATATATATATATATATATATATATATATATATATATATATATATATATGTGTGTGTGTGTTTTTGATACCTTTAAAAACGTATTTACACATATAAAATACGGTAAATACGTATAAATACATTTAAATAAAAAAAAAATTAACTTTTTAAAGGTAGGTGAACATATATGTTTCTTGTATGTTTATTATATATATATATATATATATATATATATATATATATATATATATATATATATATATATATATATATATATATATATATTACATGTAAAAACACGAAAATATATATATTTAAAATGTATTTATTTGATAATCTTAATATTACGAATTTAAAAATAATTTATTTCTTTTCATTTTTAATACTACTAATAATAATAATAATAAAGTCTTTAACACTACTATAGTCTACATAGATAGCATGTGTGAAGAAAGCAAATAATGAAAAGTTTAATTGGGATATGTGAAGAAAGCAAAGAATGAAATTTTTTTAGCCTAATTAGGGTAGGGATATGTTTTGGACCAAGGAGGTCGTAAGTTCGACTCCTCCTTCCTCTTTTCTTCGATGTGCTTGGAGAGCTAGGTAGGGGATTCAACACTTGTCGTGTCGCATCAGTTGTCATCATAATTGTCATTACAGGTTACATCAAAATCCTTTTCCATCTTGGCATGCATGCCACGTAGGCATATTATTTACTAAAATTGTTAAAATTAGCCAAAGTAAATAAATTATTGTTGGGATGCAAAGTTTTTCATTCATGATTTTGTAAATTTTTAACTTTTGTAAAACCCACTTGCATGTGGTGCTTTTAACATTTAGATCCATTTGGTAGTTAGAGTAAGAGAGAGATATGGAAACACCTCTATAAATAGTGGGTTTGTCCACTTGTAGAGGTGTGCTTGAGAGATATAGAAGTGAGTGTGTAAGTATGTGTTAATTATGTAGTCTAGATCTAGATCCTTTTTGAAACACCATATACATTCAATATATCTCTTAAACACCCAAATCACTATGTTCAATTGTGTAAGCTTTAATTCCGCATGCCAAACCATGTTCTTTGTCACTACAATTGGTATCAGAGCGGGTCTTCAAGATCAAGGTGATTTTTTGAAGAACGATTCTCGGTTTGGCAACTTTTATCGCAATTTAAGCAATTTTGGTGAGTCTCTCTTTATGATCTCTCGTAAATTCATTAAACTCGTGCGTAGCGTTTTTGAATTTTGATCAATTTGTTTCGTTGAATCTAATCTGTTTTTACCCCATTGGTGATTCAACAATTTGTTTTTAAATCGATCAAGCCCAAATCTGAATTAAAAAGTTTAATCCATTTAAATCCAAGTGTTTCGAGATGTTTACTGTTCATACAATTTGTTTAAAAGCCCAATCAAATAAAATTTGTTACTTTTCATGTTTGAGTCCAAATCAAAAATCGTTAGTGTTCATGACATTTTTGAACCCAATAAATTATAAAACTCATTCAATTGATATTACTGTTGGTCAATATTCCTCATCTTTACACGGTTTATCAGATTTTACATTTTGATGAAGCATATCTCGTTTTTCTTTATCAACGAGTTCATGAGTTTGTTTTCGTTTCTTTCTCTTTAAAAATCGATTGGTTATGACTGTTAATATGAGATTGGGAATCGATTTCGTATGATTTATTATATGACGAAATTGATTTTGGTCAAGCTAAAATTTGAGAAATCAAAAAAAATTGGTTGTTTGATCTGGAAGAATATGGTCAAGAATATTATGAAAAACAATAAAGAACAGCTCGAATATGGTATTTGATCTGAATTTGATCAGAAAAGTGTTTGATTAGTGTGTTTGTAAAATGATGGATTTTGATTTCGATGTCGATTTTATTCGTGTTCTATGTTCATCGGAGTCGTCTGACAATCGAGTCCAGTTGAAAATTCAATGAACGATGTCTAATTGATTGTTAATTAGTGATAGTATTGGATGATTTTAGATCACACTTGGAGTTCAATTTCGTTATCTGTGAACGAAGATGTGGGTGTTGACTTTTTGAAGTCAAACTTTGTTCGATTGATTTGGATGTTTTGGATTTGTTATGGGTATTGTTCTTGGAGTTATAATCGACTACAATAAGACGATGTTCGAAGTTTGAACTTGGATTTGTAGTCGATGGGTCGAAGGTTTGGATTACAGTTAAGGGGTAAATTAAAAACGAAGCCTTGGGTATTGGAATCGATGGGTGGAACGAAGAATGAAGAACTAGGTTAAAATACGAAAGGGGGTATGTTCATTACTGTTCATAATAGAGTCTTCGTATGCTTCATATCTTTGGTTAATTGAGGAAGATGAAATTGTGCACGAAGTTTGTATTTGGGTTTAATTGGGAAAAAAGAAGAGGGTTTGTATTTGGGTTTAATTGGGAAAAAAGAAGAGGGTGTTTAGATTTTGAATTTTCGAAGGGTATATGCTGAATATTCGAAGGGGTAATATTGGAAATTTATACGAAGATTTTTCCTGTTCATAATTTACTCTTGGTATGCTTACTCTTCGTATGAATTGAAAAAGAAAAGAAAAGTTTCAAAAACAGCCCCTGAACCTTCAAATTTTTAACACTTCGAAAATTAAAGCAAGTTTCGTATGTTTAATACTTTTCATCCAACTTCGAAAATTATTTGTGACTTCGTATTTTTGGTACAAGTCTTCGTATGTTTGAGAAAAAGGGTAGAATTTACGAAGATGGTCCCTGAAACTTCGAAT